CCCTATGCATCCTCCTCGTCCTTCAGACATCTGACTCTCCCTCTCGGTGCCCCGCCCGGCATTTTAGACACATCATGGCCGCCATTCCCCCCTCCGGGCTGGAGGCCCCGATCTCCGGGGCAAGCTGGGTCAACAGCCAGCTGGCGCCGGTGGTCGGTGTCTTCAGCAGCCGCGACGCGGAGGCCCTTTGCCGGACCAACAACATGAGCGTCGTCGAGATGTTGCGGGCCTTCAGCCGCATTGGCAGAAAGCGTGCGTGCCCCTCCGGCTCCCCCGGCCCGGCTGCCGGGCCCTCCCCTGCCCGTGCCACCCAGCTCACAGACGCCTTCGTCCCCCCCCCCCCCCCCCCCCCCCCCCCCCCCCCCCCCCCCCCCCCCCCCCCCCCCCCCCCCCCCCCCCCCCGCCCCGATGCGACAGTCGAGGTCACCGACATGACCGGTCAGCGGCGGCCGATCGCCGAAATGCATGTGCGCTTCCTGTCCGGCTCGGAGCTCGAGGCCGCGGCCGCCACCTTTGGCCACGAGGTCTTCAACACGCCAAGCCGCCTGGCACAGCTATCCGCCTCGATGGCCCTGGCGTCCGGGACCGCCGCATCCGACCCGACGACCGACCTGCAGCAGCAGTACCCGGGCCCCGGTCCGGATGCGAGCTGCCTGGACACGGGGGCCGGTGTCGGGCCCCCGAGCACCGGGACCGATGCTGATCGGCCGGCCCGAGCCGACTCGGTGTCCAAGTACATTCGCGGATCGAGCATCACCGATTGCGCCCCCTGGTTTGGGGCCTTCGCTGACCAATTTGCCGGCCGCGTCCCGCCAAATGAGTTCGACTATCTGTCCCACCCGGTGGTCTGTGCGTTCAGCCCCTCGGGCCGGGCTTGGTCCCCCCTCGCCTGCTGCTCCTGTGCCGGCCATCTGACGTCTCCCCCTCCCCCACGCGTGCACGCACACACGCGCACACGCACACACGCACAAACGCCTGATGCACGCAGACCTGTGTGTTCTTGCCTCGCACGAGCCCAATCCCCTGGAGAAGGCCCGGGCGATCTTCCGCTCGGCCAGCACCACCGGATCCAACATGTTCGACCTCACCAACATCAGGGCCTTCTATGTGGTGCTGCATGACGCGTCGCGCGATGTCCTGCCGGCATCCACCCCCGGCCATGTGGCTGCCTCTTCGCCACAGCAGGGCCTGCTGGACTCGCTGCGCTCTTCGCTCGGGCAGAATGTCCGCGTGCTGACGCTCAATTCCCAAACCCCAGCACTGGACCCGCTGACCCGGCCGCTGGCCGACTGGCCGTGGTACCGGCTGACGCGGCGCCGGCCACCGGCTCTCGCGCCCGCAACTGCCCCCGGAGCCACTGGCAGCTCCAGCGCCGGCACGTCGGATCCGAGTGCCGGCGTCGCGCCCGGGCTGGCGGCCGATGATCCGCTCGGGGCCGGGCTGGCCCAGTTCCCGGCCCGGGCCTCGGCGCCGGGCTCGCCGCAGCACGACCCGCAATCCTATGCCGGGGCCCAGCTAGCTGATGGCGATGTCCAGGCCATGCGCCAGTTTGTCGAGGATTTCGTCGAGAGCGTCATCCTGCCGAAGATGGAGTCCAGCTGTCACCAGTGGAATGTGCAGGTGGCCAACCAGCGTCGTGGCTTTACCGGGCGCCTGTTTAGCGTCGGCCGGCGGTACTTCTCCAGCGGCCCGGGCGGCGGCGGCTCCAGCGGTGGCAGTGGCTCCACCGGGGGCGGGGCTTCGGCCGGCACGTCCGGCGTCCCCGGCACCGGGGCCCTGATCAACCATAGCAGCCCCGAGGCCTTGCTCCGGCGTTTGGCGGACTTTTCGCTGCAATTGCAGGATTTCAAGTTCGCCCAAGAAATCTACAGCATCCTCAAGCGGGAGTTCGGGCCCGGCCGGACCCCGGGCCATGCCGGCTCCCTGCACGAAGCCCTCGGCGTGTGTCTCTTCCATGAGGAGAAGTTTGACCAGGCGGCGGCGGCCTTCTCGACGGCCCTGGCGGCCTACATGACCCCGGACCGGGGGCGCCTGCCGGTGCTTGCCCTGCGCGCGGCCCTGGTGACCGTGGCCCTGTCCCGGGGGCGCCTCCGCTGGCGGGACATCCAGCAGGCCCTGCAGGCGGTGGCCGGAGATGCCATCGACCATGTGCAGCCGGGCCCGGCATCGCCCCTGGACGCCTTGACCGGGGCCCGACTGCCCGGGAACATCCCCTCCCCCTTGCCCGGGCCGGACATCACGCCGGCCGACAGCCTGCGAGCCGGGCTGCTGCAGGAGCAGCTGGCCTTGACGCTGCTTTTCGGCCGGCCGGATGCGCGGGCTGCCCACTCCCGGCGCTATGCCCTGCACATGGCCCTGGCGGCGGAGCGCTTTGCTCGGGCCCAGCAAACCGGCCACGCGGTGCGGCTGGTGGCCGGGGTGTTGCGCCTGTCCGCGCTGGATGGCCCGAATGCCGGGGCCATTGGCGTGGCCTCGGCCGCCGGCTGGACTGGGGTCGAGGCTTGGGCCCGGCAGCGCCTGCAGGGGCTCCTGTCGCCGGAGCACGCGCCACTTGATCTGCTGCATCTGGCCGCAGTCGGCGCCTCGGCTGTCAGCCTGCTCCGCCATGTTGCATCGTCGGGCACGCCGGTTGCCCCGCCTGCTGGGTCTACGCCGCCCGATCCCGGGCTGCTCTTTGCCCTGATTTCCGCCTGGAAGCATGCCACCAAGACCCTGGATGCTGCCGGGGGTCGCCCGGCCCTGCCGGGGCCCGCTGGCGGCGCTGTCCCCCCCGGGGCACCATCCATTGAGCGTCTCTTCCCGGCCGGGGAGCAGGCCCTGCCGCTCAGTCATCTGCTGCATTGGCGCCCGGGGCGCAAGGAAATCGGCGTCCTGGTGCACTTCCCGTTGGTCTGCCCGCGGGAGGGCATCCACACGCTGGTCAGCCGGGCGACGGTCGGCGGCTTGGCCATGGCGGCCCTGCCCCCAGCGGCCGATGCCCAGGATGACATCCAGCAGCTCACCGGAAAGGAGGCCCAGCTGAAGGGGGAGCTCCGCCTGGCGACCGAGTTTGCCGGGCGCCTGCGCCAGGAGCTGGGCCTCGGTGGCACGCCCTCCTTCTATGATTGGGAGCGCCTGGCCGTGTCGGCGGGCATTGTGCCGGCGGCGACCGGCGGAGCTCTGCGGCAGCTGGGCGCGGCCGCAGCCTCGGGCCGAGTCCCGGCCAGTCGGGTGTCGATGGCCGACCGCACGCAGCTGGTGGCCGCGCTGACGGGCAGCCGGCCGATCCTGACCCGGCTGCCGACGGAGCAGCAGCAGCAGCAGCAGCAGCAACAGCAACCCCTCAAGAGCGAGGCGGGCCCGGGGGCATCGTCACCGGGCGATGGCTCGGCCAGCGAGCCGGCCGGCTGGTGGGCCGGCATCGAGCCGAATGCCTTGCGGTCGGTGGCCGCCTTTCCTGACCGGCTCCGGTCGCACGGCGGCCTGGCGGTGTCTTACGCTTCCGGCGATCCGGTCAGCATTGTCATTCGCATGGGCAATCCCCTGTTGGTGCCATTGCTGATGTACCATATGCAATTGGAGCTGGAGCTGGTGGCCCCGGGCCCGGAGCCCGGCAGCCTGACCACCTGCACCGTGATGTCGGCCACGCGGCATTCATTTGTCTGTGTGGAGGCGCAGCGTGAGCTGTCTCTGGCGTTCTTGCTGCCAGACGCGGCACTTGCCCAGCCTGGGGCCGTGTTGACGGCCACCGCACTGCACTTCCTGTTTGCCGGGGTGGTGCCCTGCGTCCGGCCCCTGGGCCGGGTCTATGGCTCGGCCGTGGATCTTGGCAGCGGGGCCACCTTGGCGTCGCGGGTGCACCAGCTCCCCTCCGGCCGAGTGGCGCGCTCCGGCAGTGTCCCCTCCTCGCCGGCCACCGGGCCCCTCTCTGCGGCCATCGGCGAGGCGCGCGCGCGTGTGCTCAGTGCCGTGGCTACTGGAGCGGCCGCGACCGGCGCCGCGATCGACACGCGTCAGGTGGAAGCGGCCGCGGCCGCGGCCTCGGCCATCGACGACTGTGTGCGTCTGGTGACCGGCCCGGCGCGCGGGCTGCTCCGGCTGGACTGGCGCGAGGATGGCCGCCATGAGGAGCCGGAGCCCGGTGCCGATGGGCCGCCGGTCACGGTGTCCCTCCTTTCGAGCCAGACAAAGCGCACGACCCTGACGCTGACCAACATCGGCACGGTGCCGGTGTGGGGCCCGGTCCGGGTGGCCGTCTCCCACAGCGGGTTCCTGGTGGTCGAGCCGCCGTCGGCTGGGCGCTGTGGGGCCGAGGCTTGCGGCGCCGAAGCCGGCATCGAGTGCTCCTCCTCCGATGACGACGACGAGGATGGCGAGGCCACTGGGCTGGTGGTGCGGGCCCCGGTGGCCGCCGATGCTGGAGCCTCGTCGGCCTGCCGGTTTGTGGTGGCCGACAACAACATCCGCGACCGATCGGTGATGGAGTTCCACCTGGCTCGGGAGGCGGCCCTGGCCCCGGGGGCCAGCATGCCGGTGACGGTGTTCGTGCGGGGCGAGCGCTCCGGCCAGCACCGGCTCCGCGCCCTGGTGGCCCATCAGACATCCCCCGGGGGGGTGGCCTCGGCCGCCGGGCCGGCATCGGCCGATGGGCCCAGCTGGCTGGCCGCGCGCGCCGAGCTGCACATTGATGTGCAGCCTGTCAGCCAGGTGAGCACCACATTGCTACATCCAGCCGGGGCCAACCGGCGGCCGATTGTCTGCCTGGAGGCCGAGCACCTGGCCCCGTCCGGCGGCCCGGGTGGCGGCGCCGGCGGACGCGCCGGGCAGCACCTGGTCCTGGAGCAGATCTTCTGCCTGTCAACCGGGTGGTCTCTGCGCCCGATGGACCCGGCCAATGTGGCCGACCGTCGGGCCATCCGCGCGGCCGGCGGGGTCCTGCCTGCCGGCACTCCGGCCAGCGAGCCCGGCATGCGTCTGGCACCGGGGGAGGCGTTTGTGCGCTTCTTCGAGCTGGTCCCGGCGCCGGCGGTCGAGCAGTTGTCCCTGCCAGCCGGGCCGGGGGGCCAGCCGGTGCAAGTGACCCGGCCACTGTCGGCGCCCCCGGGCCCGGGGGGCACCTGGTCTGCCACCTCCTTCGAATGGGACCAGGCCGTGGGGCTGTATGCCATGCTGCGGGCCGATCGAACGGGGGCCCAGGTGCCGGCCTTGCGGCCGGTGGCTCTGCGCGTGCAGGCGCTGCTGCCGGAGGCGGAGCCCGGGTGGTCGGCCCTTGACACCTCGCAGCTTGTGCGCTGCCGGTCGGTGGCCATGCACGCGCGCCTTACTTCCACCTACAAGGCCTCCAGTGGGATCTTCAGCGCGGCGGCCTGGCAGACGGCCCAAAGTGCCGGCCGGGCCATGCCGACCCTCTCGGCGGCGGCCGTGTCGCCGTACGACTCGGTCCGCGGGACGTCCAGCTGGGCGCCACCCGGGTCCGGGGAGGCCTTCGCCGCCAGCGATGTGTGGGAGCGCCAGGAGGTGCCAGATGCCCAAGTCCCCTCGGCCGACTGGTGGCGCGTGGTCGGCGGCCGTGGGGGGGCTGCCCCAGGCCACGGTCCGGCCCCCGGGGCGGGCTCTTCGGGCTCGGATGTTCCCCTGGCCGCGGCCTGCATGGCCGCTGCTCCTGCCACTGCCACCGGTGCGGTGGCCTCCTCCTCGACCGGGTCCTTGGCTTGCTCCTCCTCCTCTTCCTCCGGGCTTCGGCCAGGTGGCGGCCCTGGCGGGGTGTCGAATGCCGCGTACAGTGCCCGGTGTCCCTTCGGCCTCTTCGACAGCACCACGGTGGATCTGTGCGTCCGGTGGCGCCTGGAGCCGATGGGCGCCGCCGCGAATGCCGGGGCGGTGGCCCCGGCGCGCGGCATGCACATGGTGACCGCGGTGGCGGTGACATCTCCCAGTGCTCGGGCGGCCGGATTCCAGGACCCGCCCCTGCTGCCGGCGACGTACCTGCTGCATAGCCCCCGGCCGCCGGGTCCGGTGCCCCAGTACTTCCCGCTGCCGGGGCGCGCGTGTGGCTGTGGCTGCGGCCGGGCCACTCGGAGCCGGCGTCTGGCCCGTCTGGACCTGGCCGGTGCCGGTACCGAGCATTCGGCCACCGTGGCCGTGGAGCAGCTCCGCCTGGATTTGACGCGGCTGGGTGCCCTGCCGGCGGAACTGCAGCAGCTGGCTCGCGGTGGAGGGTCGTCGCACTTGTCGACCGGCAGCGCGTCGGCCCTGGCACTGGGCGCCGATGAGACGCTCCAGCAGGCGGTTCTCGGGAAGGCCCTCCTGGACTCGACGCGCCTGGAGCGCGAGGCCATGGCCCTGGAGCTGGGGCTGGTGGCGGCAACCACGCCGGCGGCCCCTGGGGCAGGCCGGGTCGGTGGCGAGGCGCTTCGGATCCCGGCCGGCGGGTCGGTCCTCCGGGCTGCGCTGACCCTTGCCCAAGGGCCGAGTGGGGGCGACCTGGCCAGCATGCGCGGCCCCACCTGCGCGGCCACCGGGCGCCAGCTGTGGCTGGTGCCCTGTACATTGAGCGTGCGCAATGTCTCGGCCCACCGGTGCTTCGATTACTGCATCGATGTGCGCAATCCGGACACCATGGCCGGGTCCTCCGGCGCCGGCGACCCGCTGGGCGCGGTTTTGTGCATCGGCCTGACCCGCACGGCCGGCAGCCTGACTCCTGGCCGGGAGCTCCGGCTGGCAGGGCAGCTGGTCATGGCGCTGCCCGGGCCGGCCGATGCCGGGGTCCGGCTGACTGCCGGGGCTCTGCGGCTCCCGCACTTCGATGTGTACTTCCGGCCGAATCTCCCCCATCGTCTTGAACCGCTGGTCCGTTTGGATGAGCTAGCCCCCCCGGCGCCGCACCAGTTCCTGGCAACCGCCAGCCCGGGCCAGCCGGCGGCTTTCACATTCTCCATTGACCTGGCGGCGGTTCGCTTGCAGATCCTGGAGATGGCCTCGCCATCGGGTCCCTCGCCGGTGTCTCTCCCCGTGGAGTCCGCCACCACGGCGGCTGCATCGTCCTCCGGCTGACGGGGGTCTGGCCCGCGGAAAGGAGGACCGATCCAGCGGGGGAGGGGCGATCCCGCCGGGCGCGGGCCCCTTTCTCTCTCTCTCTCTCTCTCTCTCTCTCGGCCTTTCTGCCCTCCTGGGTCCTTTGCCCGCTTTCTCGCTTCCTCCCCCCCCCTCCCCCTGTTTCCTTCTGGGCATCCAACACATGCGCATGGATCGTGTGTGTGTGTGGGATGAGAAATACACACTCACAACTATGCGTTGGCAGTCCGGGCATCTCCCTGGCTGACATCCGCGTTCGGGGGCGGGGGAGAGACTGGCCGGCGAGCGCGTCCCCACGCCACAGTGTGAGGCCTGTGTGGTCGTGTGTGTGTGTGTGTATGTGTATCTCTCTATGTGCACGCGCGCGCGCTTGCGGCCAGTCCGGGGAGGTTTGGGTCTCCGCGGCAAGGCAGGAGGGGCTCAAAACCACGCCACCAGCCCATCCTGCCTGCTGCTCCGCCCTTGTTCCTTTTCCTCGCAAGCAAGTCACTTCCATCCTCCTCTTTGCCACATGCTAGTCCGACATGCCCTCGGAGGCGCCACAGTTCAGTCGCTGGCGCGGCGGGCGCGATCTACTTCCACGGCGGCCGGCCCCCCTCGGCTGCCGGCCACCACGAGGATGACAGCGGCCGCGGCCACGGCCACGGCCGCCACCATTGCTGCGGCCACGGCCACGGCCGCCATGAGCCCCGACAAAAACCCCGCCACCGGTGCTGCTCTTCGGTCGATCGCCCTTCGCGGGGCCCCCCGCAAGAATGGCCTCGGGCCGGGGCTCTTCTACTCGCTGATGATGGATCGGCGTCGGTGCGCCGAGATCGGCGAAGCCAGGCATCCGAGTGAGGCGGCCACCGCCACGGCGGCGGGGCCCGTGCCTTCCGGGGCCGGCGCCGCAAGCATCCCTTCCGTGTCTGGGGTCGAGTGTTGCATGAGCGGCTGCGTCAATTGCGTGCTGAACGACGTTTTCGAACAGGCGGCCGCGGCTGAGGAAAGGCCCGGCGCCGATGCAGGCCCCCCGGCCGCCAATGTCGACCCGTCGATCAGCGCCTTCCTGGCCTTGGAGAGGCGCCTCCGCGCCAAGGCCGCTGCCGATGCCGCTGGCGGCGGGAGCTAGAGATCGCACGGGGGGAGCGTCCATGCCCTCGCATGATCCGAGCCCCCAAATACACCCAATGACCTTGTGAGCACATGACCATTTATTTCGCATCGGGGCGGGGGGCGGTCTGCGCCGCGCCTGTCCCTGCGTCCTCCGATGGCTCTCTGTTTGCCCGCCCCCTCGTTCCTTCTCTCTCTCTCTCTCTCTCTCTCTCTCCCTCCCTCTCTCCGCCCTCCGCCGCGTTCTGTATTTTTACGGGCCTCGGGCGTGTGCCCCTTTTTTTCCCTGTGGGACCCATGGGCCTCGGAGCGCCGCCGGACACTTCCCAGCGCTCAACCCCGCCGGGACGGAGGTGGCCCCGGGCGCGGGCTGGCTCATTTCCGATGGGCAGGACATTCTTCCCACAGTGGCTTACAGGGGAGCTATGCTCCTCGAACCCTGGAGTCCGCATTCCTCCTCGGCGCGCGCCGGTGATTAGGGTTCGTAAGGGGGCATTTCGTCCGTCCCCCTCCCCCCCGCCCCCGCCCCCCGGCACGCCTTGGTGGCACGGTCGCTGACTCCGCGGGTGTGGACCGAGGGCCCCGGGGCCCGGCCGAAGATCTTGTCCCGCGTCTGATGCTGTGGGGGGGGGCGGGCGCCGGGGGGGGGGGGGGGGGGGGGGGGGGGGGGCGGCACAAGAGCCGAGTGTGTCTATGTGCGTGCGCATGCCCGGCGGAGGGGCCGACGAGGCGGGGGGAGGCTGCAGAACCACACCCATCCGAGCTCGGCGCCGCGCGATAGGCCCCCTCTCTCTCTCCTCGCCCCCCTGTTTGGCTGTCCGCGAGAAGGCGTGTGTGTGTGTGGGGGGGGGGAGCCGGCCCGGGTGCGCCGCCCTCCCATAATGTCGGCTCGCCTGGGTCCGCCGCACGAATTGCCAACGGCCTGCTTCGCCGGCCCCGTCCTGCGGCCCCCCCCCCCCCCCCCCCCCCCCCCCGCCCCCAGGTGACAGTTGGGCGCGGGTCGTCCCTCATTCTCGGCTCCGGGGGCCTTTTGGTGCCCGGGCAGCCGCGAGACGCCGGGCCGGTGCCGCGGCAACGCCAGGTCGCTGGGCACGGGCACTCTCCCCCCGCGGCCCATTCCTGGCCCCCGGGCCTCTGCCGCTCCGAGCCCCCGGCGTGGGGGGGGGGGGGGGGCCTCCCCACCCCGTTGTTCAATACATGCAAGCGCAGACACGCACTTGCTTCTCCGGGCGCTAGAGACGCCCCCCCGGGTCCCGGCCCCAGCCCCAGCCCAAGAGGCGTGTTTCCTCCTATCGCATCATACCGTGTGCGCGCGCGCGTGCGGAAGGCGGCCATTTCCAAAGGGCGGGAGGGGGGCGCCGGCGGAGTCGCGGGCGGGGGAATGCACCAGCCCGCGAGCCTGCGTAAGTGCGTCGGTGCCCCGCCCCCACCCCTGGCCCGGGGGCGCGGGGCATGAACAATGTGCGGCGAATGATTCATCAGCCCCAATTGGCCACCCATCGCTGCGTCCTGTCAGAGGCAGCCCCACAAGCATGCGGGGTGTTTCCTACACGCGTGCGGCATGAGCGAGGAGCACCCCGCATGCTTGCGAGCGCGAGCGCGCAAGCGCGGTGAGGGCGCGTAAACAAAAATGCCCCGGGCCGGGCCGGTAGCAAGCCGGGCCGGGACTCCGGCCGGAGGCATCATGCCCGGCCGGCCCCCGCTGGCGCCCCTTTCCAGGCCCGACGCGGCGCCCCGCGCACCCCGAGCTGGCTGGCCTCGCCAGTCCCTGCGGAGTGCCCCCCCCCCCCCGAGTCCGGGCGCCCATTCCTGTGCCGTACCCCCCTCGCACATTGGCCAGTGTCGGCCAGACGGCTGCCCCCCCGCCCCCGCCCCCGCCCCCCCCCCTGCCTCGGCCCGCATGCTTCCGCCGCCGCCGCCGCCGTTTCATGCCCCGGGGCCCGGCTCTGTGGCCGGACACCGCTGGCGTGGCCAGACCGACCTTGCAATCGGATTCTCCCCGATCTCCTTTTGAGAGGGAGCGCCTCCGTGGTTCGTCGCCCGGGGCGGCGACCGCCATCCCCGCTCCGTCCTCCTCCTCGCCGCGCCGCCCCCTCCTCCTCGCCGCGCCCCCGCTTCTCCTCCCCTCCCCCTGTCTGCTCCTCGCCCCTGCCCCGAGGGAGGCCGAACTTGAGGTCTCGCGCGCGCGCGCGATCGCTCCCCTCCTCCTTCCCCCCCCCCCACACGCACACATCCCTCCTCTCTCCCCCCCTCTCTTTCTTCCTCCCTCCTCCTTCACCATGACGGACGTATATGCCCCACTTACGCACGCGTATGAGGCCTTCACGGCTGCGCCTCCTGGAGAGTGGTCCGTCCTCTGACTCGGTCCTGTCGCTGTCTCTTGCTGGCCACGCGCTCACCCCTCCCCCTTTGCCCCATTGGTTCCCCCCCCCCCCGCCAACATCGTTGTAGGTTCTCCGTCCGGATCGCCGGCAAGGCCGGGCCGCAGCTCGGCCATTCCGGGTCCGGCGGTTTGGACGGCCTCCTGCAGGTCCGCTCCTCGGCGGACTTGGTGTGCTTTTACTTCCTGCTGCACCACCCGGCCGCCGCCCCTTCCGGGACCGAGGAGGAGCCCGGCAGCCAGCAGGTCCTCCTGCATGTTGTTGGACCGGATGCCCCACTGACAGACCAGGCCCGCGGTCTGACCTTCCTTCGGCATGTCATGTCCACATTCAAAGTGCGCACCTTCCCCCCCTCCCCCCACCCCCCTTTCGACAGGCCCCTTCGGCCCGTCCCTCCTCATCCCTCCCCATCTCCCAGCACACTCACTCTCCGGCCCCCCTCTCTCCCTCCCTCTTCCCTGCCATCCTGCCCCCATTCGGGCATGGTGCGGTGCTTGTCCAACCAGGTGGACTACGTGATTCCGGTTTCCTCGCTGGCGCAGATCACCCCCGAGATGCTGGCCGAATCGTTGCGGGCACCCACGGCATACTCCTCTTCCCCGGTGGCCGGCTCCTCACAGTCGCTGCTGACCACCGGTCTGCAGAAGACCCTTTCCCCGGCGGGCTACCGGTACAGCGCCTTCGCCACGCCGACCCTCTCCGGTGCGTCCGCACTGTCCCGCCTTCGGCCCTCGCCCCCTTGCCCCTCGCCCTCCCTCTCCCCAGTTGCGTGTCCCATCCTCCGGACTGACCCTCGGGCGTGCCTGTCCCCCCCCCTCTCTCTCTCTCTCTCTCTCTCCTGCCGGGCGCTCAGTTTTCCCGACCGCATCGAGGTACACCCTCTCGTCCCTTCGTTCTGTCCCTTGTTGCCCCTTCTTTTCACTCACCACTGCACGCTTGGAACTCACGGCCACACCGCCTCGGACGATGCCAGCTCGAGCCCAGGCAACCTGTCTCCGCGGAGGACGGTCTTCTGCCCCTACTTTCCGGCCTACACGGCCATGCCGCGGAGCCACCCGGATACCGAGCCGCCCGGTGACATGGCCGAGGAGCAACCCGCCCCGACGCACCGGCCCCGCAGCGGAGGCGTCCCCCTCCTGGGCAAGGCTGCGGCACAGAATGCGGCCGCGGCCGCGGTCGCCGCCACCGCCGCCACTGCCACCGCTGCGGCCCCGGTTGGTGTGTCGGTCAGCGATGGGCCGACTCTTCGCCGGAGCGCCTCCATCTCGTCCAGTGCCTCGCGTGCTTCGTCGGTCTTCTCCACGGCCTCCGTCAACTACTCCTTCACGCGTCGGGACTCTGCCACCTTCCAGCTGCTCTCCTCCACCACGGCCCCCTTCCATCAGGGGGCCTCCCCCGGGGCGGACAAGGGTGCGGCGGCCGGGCCGGCGGCGGCCGAGTCGCACCGCGGCGCCGGGCTGCCCCCCCCACAAATGGTGTATCACCGCCATATCCGCTCGCGCGAGGATGAGATCTCCCTCTTCCCTGGCGACCTGGTGATCCCGTTGAACGAGGCGCCGGACTCGTTGGGACGCGTCAAGGTACGAAAAGGCCCGGCGGGTGGCCACCTCATTCCCTCCTGATCGGCGCCCCTCCCTCCCGGTTGTTGCTTGTGACCATGCCTATCTGACGCCTGTGATCTCCCTTTTTGCCCGGCTCCGCTCTTCTCTCCGCCCCTCTCTCCGCCCCTCTCTCCGCCCCTGTCCGGCACAGGTGATGCACGAGTCGCGCGTTGGGTATATCTCGCCAGGGACCCTGCGCGGCCCGTCGGCCATCGGGACGGCCGCGGCCGGTGCCGGCGCCTCGCCCGCGGCCGCGACCACTTCCGACGGGGCTTCCGGGTCCTCGGACGCCAAATCCACATCCGATTCCTTCTTGGAGTCCAACAATCCGGAGGTCGTGCCGTACTACGGCAGCCTGGCGGCCTACTTCGACTCGGACCTCTACCGGAGTGATGCTTGCAACTGGCTCCTCCGCCACAACCTGGCCTCGGCCGTGCGATCCTACAATGAGGGGCTGCCCATCGATGTGGCTTCCGAGCTGGACCGTCTGTCACAGCAGATGCCCAGCCTCATGTACCCGGCGGTCCAGCGCCTGGTCTACCTGAATACCTTCCTTCGGGTGCGCGCCTTCCTCGGGCAGCCGATCCACTCTTCGTCCGCGGACAATCCCTTCATCATCCCGCACACGGCCATCAGCACGGCCGGGCTTCTGGCCTCGGGCCAGGTCTCGGCTGCCAGCCCCATCGGCCCTGGGGGGGCCACCACGCCGACGCGCCTCCCGGCCCCGACAGGGTCCACTGTGCAGTATGTGCCTGGCGCGCTCCCTCCTCCGTCTGCTGAGGGGGCCTCTTTTCTCTCTCTCTCTCTCTCCCTCTGCCCTTTTTCCATTCAATCTGCTCCTTCATGTATTCTCACCTCCCGTGCTCCTTCCCCACACAGGACCGCCAAGACCGTCCCCGGTGGCCCGCCCTCGTCAAGTTCAGTGGGTCGTGCGCCCAGCGGCCTGAACCTCCGGTCATTCTTCCGGCCAACGCGCCGCGACGCCAACAGCAGCAGCTCCAGTGTGCCGCTCTTCGTCTCGGCGGACTTCTTCCAGCAGGTGGCCAAGCCGGTGCATGACGCCGAGTACGTCCTCCTCCCTGTTCCTCCGTCTATCTCCCTCCCTCTCTCTCTCTCTCTCTCTCTCTGTCTCCCTTCCGCGCCCCCTCCACCTCAGGTGCCGAGGCCCTCCGTCTGATCCCCCCCCCCCCCCCCCCGCCCGACCACAGCAAGTACATCAAGATCACATCCCCCTTCCTGCACCCGGCACTGGCCAGCGCCGAGGGTGCCGACCCGACCACCGTCACCTCGTACCTCATCCATCCTGATGCGTACAAGCACTTGACCGAGATGCGCAAGACCGCCTTCGACGAATTCCTCTCGCTGACGACCGTCGGCAAGCGGTCGAATCTCATCCGTCTGCCCACCGGCTGGCAGTACCCTCACATCGACTACAGCAACGACCCGGATTACTTTTGCCTGCCCGGGACCGGTGGCAGTGGCGGCGGCGGCGGCGGCAGCGGCAGCATGCGGCTCCTGCCGGCCGGGCGCAAGGGCGGAGCCGAGCACCACCACCAGGCAGGGGGCGCCGGCGGGCCGCCCGAGGCGGCCGGTGGCCCCGGTGCCACCCCGACCAGCGTCCAGCTGGGCAGCTCTCTCCATGCGTGGGTTCTCTTCCTCGGGCACAAGCCCTTCGATTATAGCTTCCCCCTGCCGATGGCCATCACGTCGATGATTTCGGAAATCCGCCGGCAGAATGGCCTCCAAACCGAGGGGCTCTTCCGAGTGCCGGGCAATGCCCGGCGCATCAGCCAGCTGAAGGAGGTCATCGAGAAGGACGGCCACATGAAGAACTATGTCCAGTCCAATCCCACGCTCGGCATCAGTGTCCACGATGTGGGTGGCCTGCTGAAGCTCTTCCTGCACAAGCTGGCCGACCCGCTCTTCACGAGCGCGCTGTACAAGAACTTCCCCGACGTCACAAGTGCGTCCTGCCGCCAAACTTCTGCCCGTCCCCCCCCCCCCCCCTTCGCTGGCTGCTTTTCCTTTCCTCTTCTTCCCCATCGCCCTTCCCTGCCCTTGGCCGGGGAGGGCCCTTTCCTCGGTGTCTGGTGGCACAAGATGCGACAGTGCCGTCTTTTTTTTTTTTTTTTTTGTTGCCTGCAGCCCGCCCCTTCGCTGTGTTAACCAACCCCTCTGCCTGTCTCTCGCCCTCGCCCTCCTCGCTCCCGTGCCACCGCCGCCCCCTCGCCCTCTCTGCTTCCCTTCCGCCCACTGCAGAGATTAGCTCCGGCACCGCGGACCAACTGCGCGCCTTGCGGCACCTGTGCTTCCTGCTGCCCGAGCGCAACCGCCTGGTGGCCCAGTATCTGCTGGAGTTCCTCCGGTCGGTGGCCCAGAATTCCGCCGTCAACAAGATGGACGCTCGGAACTTGGCGGTCGTCTTCGCGCCATCCTGCTTCCGCCAGCCGGCCAGCGAGAAGACCGACCAGCAGGCGGCCAAGCTCATGAAGGAGAGCAACCGCGTCATTGTCAGCCAGTATGTCCTTCAGCTGCTGATCGAGAAGTATGAGGTGCGTGTTTGGATGTATTTATATTCGTGGTGTTTTGCCGTTGGCGGTTCTTGTTGCGCCTCTCTCGGGCGGGCGCATGCACATGCACATGCGCGCGCGCGCGCGCTCACGTGGCCTCGCCCTCCCTGCCACCGGCTCCTGCTTCCCGTTTGTTTGCCACTGACGCCCTTTTCATGCACACATGTGTGCCTGTCCGTCTGTCCGCCCGTGTGCGCGTATGTGCTCGTCGACAGGAGATCTTCATGTTCCCCGAGGTGGTGCTCGAGCGCCATCCGCTCTTCCAGTCCTTAGCCACCTCGTACAGCGAGTACTTCACCAGTGCGGAGTCCGCTGGTGGCGGTGGCGCCGGAGCATCTCCCTCTAAGCCGGGTGGCGGTGCGGCCGGGTTGGCCAAGCCCGGCGCCAGTCCGGTGCTCCAGGCAGCTGGTGAACAGCCAGCTGGCGATGCCGGTTACTCAGCTGGTGATGTGCCCACTGTGGAGGCTGTCTGAGTGTGCTTCCGACGGCCGTGGGGGCGGGGGATGGGGGAAGGGCTAGGGCACGTCGTGGAGCAGGAGACGCGGTTGTCCGCCACAAAGGGGGAGGTGGCCACGAGCGAAGTCGTCCATGCAAATGGTGGCGAGGTAGGAGGAGGGGCCCTGAGCGGCGCCTCTTCTTCTTCTTCTTCTCCTTCTCCTTCCTCCCTTCCCCCCCCCCTTCTTCGCCTGACGGCGGAGCATGGGTTGCTGGCTTGTCTCAAGTCACCTTCTCGTCTCCTTCTCCCCCTCCCCCCTCCTGGTCCCTCGCCACGGGATGTGGTCCTCCCCCCTCCCGGCCCTTTCTGCACTCCTCTCCAGGCGCACCCTCGTGCGGGAAGCAATACACCCTCCATATTTCCCCTCTTTCCTCTTCCCCTTGCACAGGCGGGGCTCCTCCGATTGAGGACCGCCTACTGTGTGTTGCGCACACGCACACCTTCCGCCAGGTAGACCAACGACCAAGAGAGGGAGAGAGAGAGAGAGAGAGGGCACGATGCGAGAAGTGGGAACGAGACGCGCCACAGGATGTATTTCGGTGTCTTCATGAAGGCCGAGACGCGGGACAAAGGGTGTCTATGCCCGCGTGCGCGTGTACAGACGCACGCGTCGCGGCAAGCCCCGGGCCAGAGACCACATGGCAGCAAGAATGGCAAAAGGAAGTGTGTGTGTGTGGGGGGGGGAGGGGAGGGGAGCTTGATTGTGCGCAGGGGGGTGTCTCAATGCGCACAGTCAGGCCCTTCCTTCAAGGAAAAGAGCAAACAAGGAGGGAGAGAGGGGGGGGAGGGAGGGAGGAGCGCATCACCACAAGGGCAAGGAAAAGGCGTGCAGGGGGGGGGGGGGGGGGGGGGAGGGGAGGGGGAAGCACGCACAGGAGCCAGGAGAAAAACTTAGGGATACCCATCTTGAGTTCAGCAACCCTGGAAGCTGGGTTCGGGACTGGGGGGGGG